GGTTCTTTTGCCGAGCAGTCTCTGGTAATCGATGTTCCGATCTTAACACATATATTGGGATCCGATACAATTTGGCGCCAGAATAGCGCTGAACGTCTATGTAGAATAGATAACGTTTGGGTGCGAGAAAGGTGTGGTTCGAAGTTGGCGATAATTGGCCCCGAAACCATAAGTGAGGGCCATACTCGTGGTCAGGATACCGATTAATCTCTACATATCAACTTCCAGCACTTTTTTCCCTAAGCTATATTGAAGTGCTGGTAGTTGAATAACGGCCATGCAGGAACGGAAGGAAGGTAGAGATTGAAGATTACAAAAATTGCCGTTACGGGGATTGAATCAGAAATACCCTCTATGTGCTGTTGGGAATCCAGCACGCTAACCACTAGGCCTTCAGATATTCAGGGCTTAGGCTCACCAGCTTCGAGTGTTGAAGAAACCACTGGGCGCTGTTTGGCGAGGGGGGCGGGGGCATTTTGAACTGCGCCAAACCACTGCTCGCTCTGAAGCACGTGACACAAATAAGCTCACTACCTCGACCATTTTTCAGCGACACCTCTTTTGTCCTTTCAAAAACCACCTACCACTCGGCAAGTGATTTACAGCGCATAGAGGTTCAAGAGGGAGTATTTTACAGAATTCTTTTTCACTCATTTTTGGCTCTGTCTATGTGCAGGCCCCTACGAAATGCAAAAAAAGAAACTTCCTGGAACGTCAATGTGACCTACAAGGGCCATACTGAGATCTAGGGTTGTTTGGGGAATAACTTGATGACATTAGAAGTTATGCATTCCATCTTAGTAATAGATGCGTGAAGTCTGCCCACTATGGTGCCTTTCTCGGCCATATTGGTCAGTTTTACTTGTAGGTGTCTCAAAATACGTTTCAATAAATGCACTAAGAGATTTATTCATTTTGTCCGCGTGGTCAGCTTTTGAGGGGTTTCGATGAAATTTTCAATTTGCGGCTTCTTCTTGTGTCTAGCATTACTTTGTCGCAATCATTTTCTTTTATTTGGGACTATTTTTGTCACTGTTTGGGAATTGTCAATCTGCTCATGTTTACAAAACGCGAAATAAACAGTTCCGAACCCAGTCAGTCACTTGTTTTCGATGTGTTTCCAGTATCACATCATAGGCTCGTCACGGTAATGTTGACCTTTCAAAAGCAAGAAAACGGGACTGTGTTCAATTTCATGAAGCGATTTTAGCTAGTCTCCCCTAAAGTTTCCCATGAAATGCAGATAATTCTCTTAATCGTTTTGATCACCACATGTTTAGACTTCATGTAAAACCTCAACTCTCTTGCTTGTTCTGAAAGCAAATTAAAAGCTCGCGCAAAACGGATATTTTTTCAATGTAACACCAGAGGTCTCTGAAGACAAGCTGTACAGTAACCTGCGAGGAGGTTCTTGCCATGTGCGGGGTGAATGTGTGCCGCAGCTGCTTTGAAAATGCCACTTTCTCCGTTTAAAAGTGCACTTGAGCGGCGCTAGACAGTAGTGATACCCGTGTACCTTACCCTTGTCCCGCCCACCTTATCCCCCACCGCTAAGGTCCATGCCAAAATCCCGCAGTGAAACACGCACTTGCGGTGGAGAACACTCAAGAGAGAAAGAGCATACATATGTTTTTGGGTATGGCTAGGCGCTTGGTTAAGTGTGGACAGGAGTTGGAAATGGCATCCGGGTGTCATTACCATCCATCCTCTTTTCCAAACATTTCTCAGCAGAGAAAGTGCCATTTCAATGCAGCTGTGTACCCATAAGACCCCATAAGACCAAGATTCACGGAGGTGGATGTACAGTTTGTCCTTGAGCTATCCTGGGGAGGTAAGAAAATGTTAACCTTCCACTAGCTCAATTACTGATATGCTCCAGAAAATTTTTGGTATCGCTCCCATGTCTCAGCAGTGCTAATTGTCATAGTTTCAACAAAGGAATTTAGCTCACAAAAAAAACTACATTGCGGATGCTTCGCTTCTTTTCTAGTCACCTTTTCACTAGTTTATCCTAAACCTATACAAGTTGTCATGCTAAGTTTGTTTGGGCTTTGAAAAATCATACTTCTGTGCCATACATTCGAAGCTTTCAAACCGTGTCAGTCTTGGTTAATGGTTTGTTTGTTGTTCTGGTCAAATCTACATTTTCTGTCTATTTTATCTTTGTATTACTCTTCAGCGAGCAAGATCCTCCTGCATCATTATTGAAGCTCAATATGATTGCTGAACGGGAAAAAGGCTGGCTTCTGGTGGTGGAATCTTTGATCGAAACCGTGGGTATTCGGTATCATCTGAAAATTTGAATTTTTCTTCAATCTCCATTGTTAAGGTACCTGACGATGACTCTTTGGGTCCGGCTGTAATAACACTATTTCTCGACGAGTGCCCATTGCCTTCAAAGGTTGGAAAACAATATTACGACAATCAAACTTCTGTTGCAACCGCTTTTTTAAGGACACTGTTCATCGACTATTATGCTCCCTCCGCCTTGATCTTGCGGCTTCTGCGTCGTCGACACGCAAGCGTAGTTGGCATCGGAACACATGCATAGTATTAGGTAGTTTTCTTACTCATTCTTTTTGAACATCTAAATTTCTCAGGCCAAAAAAAGGAGATCCACAGAACCGTAGGAAGTAGTCTTTGGGCTATACTTTTCAGCTGAGCAAAATTCGACCCCATTTCCCTCCTCCTTGATTCTACCTACCGTTTTCCCAGATTCTACTTTCTACCACTTTTTTTGCTATTTCTTTCGAGAAATCCCCAGTTTTCCTCCAGCAATTGCCGTCGAGCGAGGGGGGAGGGGGTGTTAACCCCCGAGAGCATCTTAAAGGATAATACTACCACCACTATTCAGCGACCAATATGCTATCCCCTCACTGGGGATTTCCAATGTACGACAACACCTGCGATCATTTACTTGAGTCATGAGTTGCCTGATTTGATTTGCTCATTTTTCTTCGTAGCAATTTTGTTTTGTCTTTTAAGGATCTCTGGCGGAGAAACTCGCTGGTAGCAGCAGTGTGGCTATGTGCAATCCTACAACCTTGAATTATTTGATATCCCGAATAGTTAGTTTATCTTTTCTCTGAATAATTTTGAACTACTTATGCTC